GGTGGTCAAGCATCAGGTGCAACTCGAAAAACAGCAACAGCAACAGCACCACGAACTACTCGTGGTTTTCCAAAACTTATTGAAAATGATCAAGATGTTACACCAAAACGTCTTATCGATCCTGAACAATATTATAATAAAGTTAAAGATTCTGTTCTTACACATGATGCTTCATCAACTGTAAGTATTTCAATAATTTTCTATTTTTTAAAAATTAAATTATTGAAATTATAGCCAAGTGAAATTGGTTATTCAACTGTACAACCACAAGTTTTCTCTGCTACAAAGTAATTAAATATAAAATAAATAGATATTCAAAATATTTTATATTTAAATTAGATCTATGATTGGTCTTAGTCATGGTGGAGCACCTAATTCACATGGGACTGATGCAGAAAGTTTTCCATCCGATCATGATAATGATCAACTTGCTCAAAGTGATGCTATGCATGGCATTCCCGATGGTACATATATATATTTTAAATAATTCTTCTATCTATTTATTTATTCAGAAGAATCATTAACATCAATGGATGGTGAAACTCCACAACCATCATTAACTCTTAGTGAAACAGAAACAATATTTATTTTAAGTATGGATAGTTGTATTGTTGCTGAAGATGCTACAGAGGTAGAAACAATTAAACAACAAAATGAACGATATATTGAAGTAAAAAATTATTCAATTAAATTATATAGATATATATTAATTTATTTTGTTTAGTTATGTAAAAGTAGACAGGGTAGTGATTTATTTAATGAACGTGGTATGAATACATTCAATAGTACGGTTAAAAATAAAGAAATTCAATGTGAACGAATAAATTCTCAAGTATATCATTTCGAATAATAATTATCTTAAAAAAACAAGTTTCTTTCTTTTCTCCACATATAATAGAGTCGAGAAGCGTATGCATCAACAGCAGATATGTATGATTCCGAACGAGGTGAAAGTAAAAGTATGTAATTCAATATAGTTTCACAAAAATCCATAAGATATTTTATTTATTTTAGTTATACTTAGTACAAACACTCATGAAACACAAACAATTGATGATGGACCACTTCGTACTGGTATATTATTAATAGAATAGAATATTTATTGAGAGAGAATAAGAAAATTTTATGTAATTGTAGATGCAACACGATCTGTAGGTTCAGGAATTGATAAATCACATGGAACACGTCTTTCAGATCAATCCATTGATGAAACAATGAGAAAACCAATTGTAGCTAAAACTACAAATACTGAAACAGAATTACCAGAAACATTTGATGTAATATTAATTTATATAAAATTAATTTACCTTCCGCTTATTTTTAGTCATCTAAAATTGCAACAATTGCATTTGTTATGGAACGAATACTTAATTTGAATACAAATCAAGGAAAACAAGCTGTCTATCGTGGATTAACACCTTTGGATAAAGAAGAAAGTATGTTAAATAGAAATATCGTATCGAAATGTTGAACAAATAATGAATTAAATCTGTTGTCTAATTTCTAGAAGGAATCACTTATGCTGGTTTAGCACTTGATAAATTATTTGGTAAATAATAATTAAGTTTTCTGAAACGATTGAAATATTATTTTTATATATCTTTCGCACAGCTTATTCTGCTGATATAACAAGTAACAAAAATGTTAGTGCATTAACATGGAATCAAAAGAATCCTGACTTACTTGCTGTTGGTTATGGACCTTTTGAATATAATGATCAACGTGATGGTTTAGTTTGTTGTTGGAGTTTGAAGAATCAAGATGTATGTTTTAAAATACATTGAATTCATTTTATTTCCTCTTTTTAGTTCCCTGAAAGATTCTATCATACACCTTGTGCTGCAACAGCAGTAGCGTTTTCCAGTAAATTTCCATCGCTGTTAGCAGTATGAATAGATTTCTTTTTAAAATTTGAAATAAATTCTTTTTTTTTATAATAGGTGGGTCTTTTCGATGGTACAGTGAATGTGTATAATGTTCAAAATAATAATGATACTCCATTACTTGATACAGAGTATATTTCATATGAATAGATTTTATTTTATAGAAAATTAATTGAATGTTCTTTTTTTGATAAATAGAGAAGTACCTGGTAAACATACAGCACCTGTATGGCAACTTTGTTGGTTAGGAGTTGAAAAAAGTCGTGATGATGATACAGGCGAAGTACTTATGTCAGTTTCAACTGGTTTGTTATGGATAATATTTAATTCCTATTTTTTCATTATTTTAATCTAATTTTATAGATGGTCGAGTTACACAATGGTTATTACGTAAAGGTTTTGAATCAAATGGTAAGTAGACATATATTATATTGAAATAATCAAAAGTAAAAATATATATGTTATTTATAATTGGTTTATAGATTATATTCGATTAAAACGTATCTTGAGTAAACAAACAATACAAAGACGTGATGGTGGAAAAGAACAAAAAATTTCTAAATCTGAAAATTTACTTTATCGTTCTTCTGGTGGTCTTTGTTTTGATATCTGTCCAGATGATAAAATGATGTATGTGAAACAATTTTTTGTTTTTTTAGAAATTAAACTATTCTTTTATTTCTTAGATATTTATGTGGTACTGAAGAAGGTCTTATTCATCAATGTTCCTTAGGAAATAATGAACAGTATTTAGATACTTATTCTGGACATTCAGTAAATAAAAAAACAATTAATTTAAATGATTGAATATAATTTTCTTTTGTAAATAGGGTCCAATTTATCGTTTAGCTTGGAGTCCATTAGCAAAAGGTGTTTTTCTATCATCATCAGCTGATTGGACAGTATCACTTTGGGTAGTTGGTCGACCTCAACCATGTATTACATTTGCATCGAGAAAAGTATTTATAAATATATTAAATCAATAAAAGTAATACATTGATTTTATTTTTTTAGAAACCAGTATTTGATATTTGTTGGTCACCCAAATCAGCAACAATGTTCTGTTGTGCTAACGAAGAAGCTGTAGAAGTATGGGATATATCAAAAAATACGTAAGAGATTAATAGAAATCTAAATTGTTTACACTCTTTGTTTCTAAATAGACTAGAACCAGTCGATGTCATAACAGCTGGTCAACAACAAATATTTACATCAATAACATATTCTCCAAATTCTGAAGTAATATTTATTTTTTTTATTTTTCTTTCTTAATAAATTCTTGTATTATAGTGTGTTCTTGCCGGTACTAATATCGGTGCAGTTGTCGTATATAATCTTAAAAATCTTCCAGAACCAGCCACTGTATATTATTTCGTTTTCTAAATCTTCAAAATAAAAACTCATTGATACTATATTATAGGTTGATCAATTAATGGAAATAATCAAACAACAAACACAACATTTATCTTTACCAGAAGATGGAACTTCCAAAGCTATCGCCAATATGAAACCAAAAGAAAATATTCCAATGACTCATGGAAAATGATAAATATAAACTTGAATTTTTTATTACATTTTTATTTAATAAAAAAAAAAAGGAATATATATATCTGCCGAAACAGAACACAAAAAAAAATCACCGGATTAAAAATTTTCATTTGAGTTCTATATTAGAATAGATTGATAAATCAGACAAGTTCGTTCTTTTTTTATACGAAATAGTTTCTCTGTCCTATTGATTCATTATATAGATTTATCATTCAGACTAAATATAGAACTTTAAAATTTCTATGAATTTAAAAACGAAAAAGAAGAAGAACTATTTGTTAGATATTCAATAGCACCTCGATAAGTTGTAAAATCATAATCCATGTCTGATGGAAGAGAAATAAATCGAAATTTTTCTATATAATATTCATGTGCAGCTAAATGAATAGAACAATTTGTATCTGATGTTAATATAAATTGACATATGAGATCCATAAATGCAGGTAAAGTTTCATCGGCTGACATTGCCGTTGATTTCGATGGTGAATGATAAGCAACCGATGATTTTTTTGAATCAAGTATCATTGATTTTTGTGTTATCATTATATGAATGGCTGAATTAAGACATTTAGCTTTTTCATAGGAAGATTTAAGATCATCTAATTTTTTTAATTCATTAAAAAAATTTTGATTTGCATTCATTTCAAAATTATTTGATTCTGTTCGTTGTCTTTTATATTTTGTTTGAATATTTTTAAATAAAATTTTATCTTTATCTTCATTATACTGAACAATTGTTGGCCAAAATTTTGTATATGTATAACCTGTTATATAGATTTCACTTGCTAATTCAAGATTACGATCTTCATAATTTTTATTTAATAATTGATATGATTCATGAAGAAAATCGAATCGAAATTGACGAAGTTTATCAATAGCATCTTCAATAAATTTTGGTAATAAAACATATTTTTCAGTAAATAAAAATAATGCTTTATGTAAACGTGCAAATGCTGGTTCAATTTGACGTATTGAATCAAGATACATAAATGATGATTCATAACTAGCTGTTGATTGAGTGAATAGATGTTCCTAAGAAAAATTAATATTTTAAGATTTGACCCTAATTCGAATTGAAAGAGAAGAAAAGTTTTTAGTTCCAGTTACATAATTTAAATATTATCTCTTTTAGATAAGTAATCAGTTTTTCTTTACTCTGATTGATTACATGAATATGTATATTCTTACCGTTTGTTTCATAGGTCTGATTATTTGTCTTGATGGTGAACCATTTAATGTAGTTTCTATTCCAGTAATATCAATCAATGGTTGTTCAATAATTAATATACTATAAGCAGTTTTACGAATTGTATCTCGCACATCTTCTTGACTCAAAACTTTAATACGTTTTTCACCTACACCATCTTTTTTATAGAAAAAACGTATTGTACGATTATTATCAAACTCAATTTCATATTTATCATTCCATGAAACATGTTTACGTACATACATTGGTGAAGGACGGTATACATGTGATTCGAATATATCACGTTTCAATGGAAATAAATACGATAGTTGTTGAGGTATCACAATAATGGAACATGTACTTTGAGCTTTTGTGTATAAATCAGAAAAATTAGATGTTAATAATTTATAAAATTGAAGTTCTTCAAGTTCTATTGAGTCTGACGTCATAGAAAATATGTAATATCTAGTACGAAGATGATAAAAAAAGACGAAGTGAACTAGTCAAAGGTAAATAGAGAACAAATGAAAAGCGGAGTTACTGTCAATGGACATAAGTAAGAAGCAACCCATTTGATAGAATAACTAACCAATGAGAATCCAAAGTCGTATTTTTAAACAAATTTCGTTTAGAATATTTACAATCTGATATAAAAAAAAGATTATGATAACTAATAGAGAATACTTAGTCGAAAGTGCGAGAAACAAAAAGTGTCTAGATAAATATACTATAAATTATGATAAAAACCAAAGAAGATAATAAAAAAAGAAGGAAGAATTATTTAGTTTATACATTTTAGACTGTAAATGGCTTCATCAAGTTCCTTGAATAATGATGATGCAAGAATACCAGTCGATGAAACATCACATTTAAATACACAGCCACAACAAAATTTTCAAACAATAATTAGAAGTGGACCAAGACATTCTATCTCTTGGGTAGATTTGTTGTAAAAATAATTTAAAAATAAATAGAAGAATATATTTAGGGCTTTCCCGGTCGCTGGGGTACAGTAATAAAAATTGATCTCGCTGAATATTCGAACGAGACAATAACATCATCAATACAAACAAATGATGCAAATGCTGTTCCAGATTCAACTTCTCCACCAATTCCACTAAGGAGACGCGTTCACAATTTAGCTCGACCTACACCTGAAACTGATGATAGCCACAAATTATTAGGTGAATGGCGTGCAACAGCTATTGCTGGTAACGATATTTCTTCATCATGTCTTTATACTGCAGGAATTTGTTCACAAAAAGGTAATGAATTTCAAATCAATAACACATTGTCATTCATTATTTACTTTTTGTGTTTTAGCTGGTCAATATTCGTTTATCTCTTTATATCTAGTAGCTTTAGTTCTTTATTTATATCGTAACATTTATTCTGAAGTCGGTCTTGCTCTACCGTTAAATGGTGGTGCATATAATGTTTTACTTAATTGTACATCAAAATTTATTGCATCAATTGCAGCATGTCTTACACTAGTCTCTTATATAGCTACAGCTGTTGTATCTGCTAGTTCAGCTATTGCCTATGGACAAAATTTATGGTCTGGATTGGATCCTGCATGGGCAGTTATGGCTTTATTAGGATTTTTTTGTTTATTAACTTTATTTGGTTTAAAAGAATCAGCTAATGTTGCTTTAGTTATATTTATTATACATATTTGTACAATGTCATTACTTGTAATAATGTGTTTATATAAAATAATGCTATCACATGATTCTATCACAATGTTTGTAAAAAATTGGCAAACAGAATCATTACAAAATGTTCCTATAGATATTTATTATGGTTTTGGTTTGGCTTTATTAGGTGTAAGTGGTTTCGAAACATCATCAAATTATATTGAAGAACAAGGTGCTGGAGTTTTTCCAAAAACATTAAGAAATATGTGGTATGTGGTTTCATTATTTAATCCATGTAAGTAATTATTAATTATTAATTCATATTTCATATTTTATATAAAATTTATTCTAATAGTATTTTTTTAAAAATGTAAGTCGGAATGAAAAGACTCTTATAGTCAAGAAAAAATATTTCTTTTAGTTTACTAGTCTAAATATAACTAACTACTATTTAAAATAGATTGATCGAAAGTAGCTATTAGAATTAATTATATGATATTTTTTTTAGTGTTTTCTTTATTATCATTATTTATAATGCCAATGTCTGAAATTCGTCAACATCGTGATGATCTTCTAGCTGCTATGGGTACTGTTACAAGTCAACCACCTTCATCTACATGGCTTAATACATTAATTTCAGCTGATGCATTACTTGTTTTATCCGGTGCTGTACTAACATCTTATGTTGGTATAACTGGTTTAATACGTCGTATGAGTTATGATCGATGTTTACCCATGTTTTTATCATATACAAATCGTTGGCGACATACAAATCATTTTATTATCATTGGATTTTTTGTTGTTACAAGTTTACTTCATTATATTGTACGTGGTAATTTAGAAAGTCTTGCCGGTGTTTATTCAATATCATTTTTAAGTGTTATGTCTTTATTTGCTATTGGTAATATGATATTAAAATATAAACGTGGAACATTACGACGATCAATTTATGCATCATGGCCACATGTTATTATAGGATTTATACTTGTACTTGTTGGTCTTATTGCTGTAATAATACTTAATTTACCTCATATAACTTATTTTATTTTATATTTTGGTATAACATTTTTAATTGTAATGTTAATGTTTTCAAGAAATCGTGTTTTAAAATTATTAATTTATTTTGGTGGACCACAAAAATGGTTAGATATGCTTAATAAACATTATAAAAAGATTGAAGATCGTCCAATGTTATTCTTTACACGAACTGATGATCCATCTGTAATAAATAAAGCGATATTATATGTACGCGAAAATGAATTAACGAATTTTTTAAAAATATGTCATATATATGAACATGAAATTGATATTCCACCTATGTTAGAAACAAATGTTAAATTTTTAGATAAACAATATCCAAAATTGTGTCTTGATTTAGTAAGTTATTTTTCATTTCAACAAAAAAAAAGTATAATTGAATTATTTCAGGTACTTGTCAAAGGTCGATTTGATCCACCAACAGTAAAAAAACTTAGTGAACAACTTGATATTCCAAGAAATTTTATGTTTATAACATGTCCTGCTGGTAATTTTTCACATCATCTTGCAGAAATGGGTGGTATTAGACTTATAACGCATTCCTAATTTATAATATTTTTAATTGTCAGATTTTTCCAATCAATATAGAAATTTGTTTATGTGTGATTTTATTTTATTTTTTTATAGCAGAATATTATAATAAAGAAAGAATAATAAAAAAAACAATAGAAAAACAATTCTTTTTTTTAAACAAGTAATATTGAATCAATAAATCCTTGTCCAGATGCAATTCCACCTTCAATATTTATTGTTGGTTTACTTCGAAATAAAGAACCACCCATTCGCTCATAAATCACCGTATCATTTTGACTAATTAAACTACCAAATATACCTAATTCTCCATTGATTTCTTTCTCACATAAACTATTCTCATTATTTTTAGTTATAGATGAACGTATTAAACTGGAATAAATCGGTGCATATATACGTGACATAAGAAAATAACGATTTGATTGTTTATCAGTAATAATTTGATCAATACGTTCTCTAAGATAAAAAAAAAGAATGAATATAAAGGACGAGAAATTATAATTTTACTTAAGCTTAGAACCACAGTAAACATTTCCACCTAAAGATACACAAATAGATTTAATTTTCATATTGTGGTATTTACCTCCTTCTCGACTTTGTTTCAAATAAAATGACTCGGGTGTGTCGAGTATTCGTTGTAGTACAAGTGGATCATTGACTGCCTGTATATATATCAATGAAAAATTGAAATGTATTATTTCTTTAATTATCTATTTCAACTAACCTGATCAATTGTAAACATTTCTTCTGTAATATCTTGTAAATCTTTAATATATTGTTCATTTTCTTGAAAAACTTCTTTTAAAAATGTTTTATTCATTAATGCTAATTGAAAACATTTCATTCCAGCTAAATGATATCGTAAACTAGGACATTTAATAGCGCGAGATGATTCTAACATGATATATGCTTGCCAAATCTATAAATAACAATTATCATTATTTTTGCTTATAATAATTCGTCTTACCTTCTCGTTATAGAAATGTTTTGGATCATAAGCTGATCGATAATAGACAACTGCAACTTCAAAATCATTACTAAATTGTTAAAATATATATCATTTATAGTTTTTATTTTTATAGCTTACAAATAAAGTATGCCTTCAGGATTAAGAGAACAATTTTGACAAACATCAATAAATGTAACTTGTTTAACAAGAAGTGATGACGATGATTCACGTAATAGAAGTCCTTGTTCAATTAACATTTGATCACCGATATTGAATTCTCGTTCAGTTTTAATAAGAAGAATTATTGCTCTGATAGAAATAAGAATAAATTATAATGAGAAGAAGAGATATTCAAACTTTGGTTTATTATAAATTTTCCATGATTCAAATAAAGTATCAATAATAATATCATGTGATTCATTTTCCGGTAACTTAAATTAACAAACTTTATTTCATTAAATAAATTTTCAAAATATACCTGTGATACTAAATCAGGTCGTATTTGTGTTAAGAATTTTCTGTAAATAAAAATAATCGTTTATTATTCTTTTTTTCAGAGATCATTAATTGATTTACTTATGCCATGAATGCATCAATTTAGCTGCTGCACCAAGACCAATAGAAATAGTATTTATTTCAATTAAACGAAGTTTTGTTTTGTCAGTTAATGTATTCATTTGTTGTAACATATAATCTGTTCGAATAATACATGTTTCAGCAACATTCTATTATGAAATAATTAGAATGTATCTGAACAAGAGATATCGATTTACTTTATATGGCAATTGTTGAATATGATTGTAAATATTTCGTAATCGTCTTATAAATGGATCACATTCAATCAAACTAAATATATATATATGAAACTATTAAAATAGATGTTTAGTTTTAATTTAATAACTTTTGAAAAACTGAATCCATTAAATTAATATCAATAGCAAGACGATGAATAAGTTTATTGATTCCATATTGAATTTGACATGCTTTTTCATATTCATTACGTGAATATGGCGATGGATAAATTGTAAATGGATAAGGAATAACATTAGAATCATTATTTAAATCATCATTCTGTGTAAAATAGTATTGAACAAAACCTTTAAATAGATTAGAAACAAAAAAATGAGACAATAGATATTTATATTGATACGCTTACCATTCGCAAAAGCCCATCGTTGACATTCAGCATTTAATTTATTCAGATCTAACTTATAAACAATATTCTTCAAAGAAGTATTCAATGCAGTAGCATCATCTTCCATACTAAAAAGCTACAAATGAAAATATAATATAACATGCATTCTTTCTTATCTTTTCTTTTAGTGTACGTGATTTAATATATATGTATATAAGATAAATAAAATAAAATCTATTTCTCTTCCTAAGTCTTGGTGAAGATTTAATTGTAATTTGTTGATTTATTTTCGAAGTAACATCGAGCAGTTGAAAGTTCATTTATATTCGAAATCGAATTAGACAACTCGCAATCTATAGATATATGTTAATTGATAGAGTAGAATTCTTATAGAATTTATGTATATAAAAATCATAAGTCAATAGGTACACATTGTAATTAATTTACGATAGTAGTAAGTATTACAACATTGAAATGAATCATCATTTACGATCATCGAGATTTTGTTCTTCCTCACCACTGGTGTGTATAAATGACCAACGAAAGTAAAAATATAATATCAATCGATAGATTGTGCAAATTTTCTTTCTTTTATGCACTATTGTTCATTTATTGATTAATTATATGGATACTAATCATATATAAATTTATTGATTAGTATGTCTTTTATAAATATTCTCTATATATAATTAGTTTTAATTATTAATTTTATAATCTATTAATACTATGAGTTATGACCGGGAGAATTTCAATATGAAAAATATATATATAATTGAGAAATAAATTGTTAACTTACCATTTATGATGTCTTGTTCGTTTCAGAAGAGTGAAATGAAAATATTTACTGATTTTACTCTTTATATACGTATTTACCTTTCGTTTTGCTAGACTGATTTTACCTTAACACGTCACATATAGTTGGATTTTTCTTCAATTTCTTTGTGTCATCTTATCGTATATACTTCCTATTCCAATACCATTTATTACTAATACTCTATCAACGTCATTGACGTTGGTAGCAAGTAGAAATACAATTTGACACAGAACTTTTCAAATTCAAGAACATTTCATCGTATAATACTGTATTATCTTTTGTTTATAACAACGTCGATAATTAAAAGAGAATATTTACATGCAGTTTATATCATTAATCATGTATGATAATGTTACTTGATGATTGTGAATGAACACATTGATGTAACACTTCTGTTTTTTGTCTCTTTTTTTTAAAATTTATAACACTTGTCTATATAGTGTGATCTGTTATTTGTTTTGTCGTGATGCTGTCAAATTAAATAGGCATATATGCAGTACATAATTTATTTGGTTTCAAATCTCTTAACATCTAACGGGAACAATTCGATTACCGTGTGCGTCTTGACTCAAGTCAGTTTATACTTCATTTTTTCTTATAAATATCCTTATTAAGCGACAGGTGTACGGGAAAAAAAGAACATAGTAATGTATATATCTTAACCGAAGATACATATTGTTACACATTGCAAATGTGGATTAAAAATTTACTAGAATATCTGAACTTTTACTATTATTTTACGAAACAGGATTAATAATACTAGTGCAAGTCATTCTATAGTTCATTCAGTAGAAAATTTCTTTCGGTAATAAATGACATGACTTCCTTTTGTAAAAAATATTGAATTTTATTAAAAAGAATAGAACGCTTTTGGGCATTTGACTTTGCTTAATATTGTTGTTTGCCAATGTAGTTCTTTTGACATTCAACTTTCTTTAAAACTTAGTCGATAAATGAATCATAATAGTATAAAACAATCTTTTCCTTTTTTTTTGTAATGAATCAATTAAATATTTTACAAATATTAACATTTGATCTGATCCCTTGATAAGATTTTTCAATTCTGACATTAATCAATTATTTAAGGATCTTATGTCAGTTATTAAAACAAGTACATGTTGTTGTTATTACGAGGTACAACAAGTTCAAGTATGCTTGTATTGTTTACGTGATTGCAGATTCATTTCTCATATGATACCCTTGATAATAAAATACAAGTAAATGAACAAATAATCATTCTTTTCTTGTATTTAAAGAGATTTTCATTGATAGATTTCTCCTCTTTAGTTCTAAAGGATATCCGGCTCTTTCATACTCGACTCTCCTATAATAAAAAAACGAGATTTTCTCGAGAAAAAAGAACAGGAAAAATTCATCTTCCTGTATATCATATTACGACAAGTTCTTAACAGATAGAAAATATCAAAACAACTCTTGTTCATAATAATACAGACTATAAATAATATATTAGTAATAAGAAAGAAAAGATGTGTTAGTTAGAATGATACTGCATGTACTTTAATCTTATTCTTCATAAGAAAGAATAAAAAGAAACACTCAACTATATTTTCTTGTAAGTATTATTATTTTGCTATATTAAATAAAGATCAAACATTATCCGTTTTTATTTTTGATAATTGTTTGTCGAGATTTATTAATTCCATATGATAAATAGAGTAATTAGAAAAGTAGAAAATGAGCTTTTGTATTAAATAAATAGACATATGATTAATATAAATGCATCTTTCTGAAATTTAATCTCTCATTTAGTTTATTCACATATATAGAATTGTGAAAACTGTTCTCATTGTACTACTTACTTACCTGCTAGTTTAATCTAAAGCTTTTCTTTCTCAATTATCATAGTATTTAGTGATTGAATCTATTGTAATAGCAAGAATTTAGGTACTGTAAGTATTGAAATATACTTTCAACTAATGATTTTATATAATAATAACTAATATCAGACAAAGAAGAATAAAAGTGCATATTCAGTTGTAGTATATAAGATAGAGACACAGCTGAATTTCCGTAGGAAATTACGCTAGATAATAAACTAGAATAGTAAAGTAATTATAGTGAGATTGAGTGACCCTCGATGACGAAATTATCAGATAAATAGAAAAATTTATCGTATTAGTAAGAACCGTCTATATAAGCGAATGCATGAATAGAAAAAAAAGCGAGGAGATATAAAAACAAAAAATTCTTATGACATGAACTGCTTAACACAACATATTCCTAATAAAACAAGGCTTACAAATCATGTTTTTCATTGATAATACATCGTTTCCAGTATTTTAATCTTAGCAACATCGTTTATTGAGTAAATATGAAAATCTTTTTTTTTTACTAAAACAAATTTGCACAGATGGTAGTAGTTTTTTGAGAGTTTCATGATTTTCTTGTCAATTGTCTACAAAAATTATGAGTCGCAATTATTTTATCATTAGTAAATAGATATGTTAATTATTAGTATAGTCATTTTTCTCAAACAATAAAAAAATAATTCTAATAGCGATAACAAAGAAAAAAGAAATCGTGATTTATCATTTTCTCTATTAATTAATTATTAATAAATAATATGTATTGAATATAGAAGAAATATTCACGTTTTCTCATATTAATTTATATGATTTGTTATAAATCAAAATAAAGAAAAAGACGTCATTTTTATTGTGTTATTTCTTTTCAGTTGACGTATACACTTAGCATCTGCCATGATTGCCGTTTTTCATTGATTAACGTTCCCTGAAGTGATAATACTCATTTTTCAAATATTATTATTCTATATTTGAACTACCTGTCGTGGTACCATGTCAAATGCTCATTTAGTAAATACAATGACGTCAAATTCACCAACAAATGGAAAAAATTCATTAACATTTGAAAGTATTGTATGTTCACAATTGGAATTAAAACGACATGCAGCATCATTTACAAATCGTCGAAATACAATGTGTAGACGATTATCATATATTCCATCATCATCACCACCATCATCAACAACAACAACAACAACAGGAACAGCAATATCAATATCACCATTAAATGCTCGAGCATCAACATCATCAGCATTAGCTGATTTGTCAATACATTTTTTAAAAACAAAAGATTCAACAAATGATAGAAAACGTAGTCGAGCATCATCATTTAATTCGACGACTGGAAATACTTTACGTCAAAGTGTTGCAGAACGACAATCAGTTGGTTCTATATTATACTGGGATCCATCAAGAAATCCATCAACTACTAGAGTATAAAAATAGAAATAATCGTTTTTTCTTTTATAATTATTTTCATTTAGCATGAATCACAAGTATCTAAATGGAGTATTGATTTTCATAAAGATACACCACATTACGGAAGTTTACGATCACGTTTAGTTGAAGAGTATACTGATTGTGAATCATTATTAGAATTTGCTAAGAAAACTGTACTTGTACTTATACAAACAAGTAAAACTAATTTTTTTCTACTTTAAATTTATAATAAACTATTTCTTTTCTTTCGTTATATAGAAGTAGCAACAGTTTTTCTTGGTCTTCTTCTTATTCTTCCTATTACAATGATGAGTATTGGTATATGGAACAAAAAAATAATATTTGATTTTAATAATTATTTTAATTTAGGTGTTAGTCATTTAAGTGATTGTCCAAAACAAACACATTTACCTATTTATTTATTTGTTGCTGGTATTGTATGGACAACAAAACTTCTTCAAAATATTTGGCATAAATATCGTTTACAACAAAAAGCATCAAATGATGAAGAACCACCATCAGAACGTAATGATGGTCATGCATTTATTGATGGTTTAATGACATCATTTCTTATTATATGGTTTTTCTTAGGACATTATTGGTTATCTACTCTCGGTTATCCAATACAATTTGAACAACCATTAGAAACTCCTGATGTTTGGTGTGATAAATCCGTTGTTTTATGTACAATTGCATCTATATTTATTACTTATTTTATATTAATTACATTTATTATTATTGTTGTGTGTCTTGTATGTTGTACACGATATACAATCATTAAACGAGCATCATCTAGTCAAATATGAATAAATATATAAAATATATGCGATTTATTTTAGTATTTTTCATGTTTATAAATAACTGAAAAAAAGTATTCTATGTGTAAAATGTTATTGCATTTTTTTTGTAATAAAATGGCTTGAAAAAAACCTAGTGTCGATTATAGGTGTTAGGTTTTTTCCTACTACTACCGCAGAGATGGGCAACTCCGGGGGTAAGCAACTCCAACTCCACTCCAACTCCATCTCGTTTCTCACAACTCCACTCCAACTCCATCGATTTTTTTAAGGCTCAACTCCAACTCCACTCCAACTCTATCTAGTTTTTCACAACTCCACTCCAACTCCAACTCCGTTGTCTACGATTTCAACTCCAACTCCGGAGTTGGAGTTGCCCATCTCTGTACTACCGAGAGAATTAGTCATAGTGGCTGTTGAAATAAAAACCCACCAGCATTTTTATACCCTTTATAGATTTCGTAATTTTTACTTCATTCGTTCGATCAGAACGGTAAGTGAAGCAAATAATAAAGTAAGAAATGAAGTATATTTATGGATATAAAATGTGTATAGTTCAGTCTAACTTTGGTGATAGTTTAAGTTTTACTAACAGATTCGATGAGTGACATCTTTATTTTACAGATATTTCTTTACCATTACATTATAATATGAATAATGATGATTCAAGTAATGTATTTTTATTCCCACCAAATCCATTCATAATATATTATTAAGTAAAAATAAAAATAGGATAATTTATGTAAGAGATAAATTTAATCATCGTAACATTTGGACGGAGCAACTCAGATTATGCAAAATGAATATAGCATTTTAATAAAAAAAGTATCGTCTACGAAATTTCGTATTACCGACATCTTTTTCTGAGAAGAGTTATAAAAAACGACGCAATAAGACAAGTGATTATCATCATTAAGAATTGTACTGTCCACGTCAGCAAGAATATTTTTATTCTCTTCATTGATAATATTAAGTAAAAAATCATATAGAAGACTCTTCATTAAGTATTTATTTTCCCAACGATACGAAATAAAACAAGTTTGATGGTGATAAAGTTCATTTAGTAAAATTAAATATCATTATTAAGCATCTAAATAATGATTTATATATTAATAAAGATTGTATATGAAAAATATTCTGTTAGTCTTTTCTTTTTATAACAGATTTAAATGTATTACTTTGAGTGATTTTCATACAGGGAATTTTATTATTTGTCTTTCTCAATCACTATTTCTCATATTACATAGAGAACTTTCTAGCTTTTGATATAGTGTTAATATATATGAATCACATCTTAGGCAGTGGTAATATATGACGTGGTATTGATACGATAAGTCATAAATTTTATACAAAAAAAAGAATATTAAGAATTATTCGAGCGTATCGTGAATTATAATCGGTTGTCTCGTTCTTTCTATAAGAAAGTATTGGAATATTTATCTATGCAAAAAAATAAACAGAGAAAGAAAAAAAAATAATATCGAAACTTTTATTGGTTTATCAATTTTGATTTTTATCTTTTTTATTGTTTCTTATAAAGATATTATTCATACTTCATATGTCGTCATAGCTCTGGGAATTTTCCAAATACATAATACGTAATAAAATAGATTTTGGAAGAGAACACCTAATTTTTTTTTCCAATGAATTTGTTTGTTATTGAGCAATAACAATGAAAGAGTTGTCGTTCTCTTCTTCCTTTGTATATATATATGCATATATCTTGCGACACAAACAACCATAATCAAACAGCAGTAGGAAGAAGAGTAAGCGAAAAATAGTGTCAACTATGTCTAGTTTAGTCTTGCATCATATATCCACGTCATCACAGATTCCACAGTACAAAGGTAATAATATTGGACAGAGAAAGATCAAGAACGAAGAGAAAAATATTTTCTTTCCTGTCTTAGAGATGGGTTTTTTCCGAGATTGTCACTTTCTTCTCTTTTTTTGCTTCTGATTCATTTGCTTTCATTCATTTAAAATCTATTCGACAGGTAAGGTAAAATTTTCTTTGTAATGTTTTAAAGCCGATAAAAAAGTAAATTTTTCTTTCCTAATACGATTACTCATACACATATATTATTTGTTTTTGTTCTTTTCATAGAAAATAAAGTTTTACATCGTCACAATACAATCATTTTTCGTTTTTTTTCTTCCGCTATAGTCGCACATCTTTTCTTACATAAACTTCCTGAAGGTTTTTTTTTTCTATAATATGCATTTATATTTTAGATATTAAAATACACATAGTCTTTCATTTTCAATAGCAACAAATAGCTATGACTGGCACATTATTCAAACGTCAACATAGTTCTTCAGCAGGTTATACAAATGTAGATAAAATGGCTCGACCAGCACTTCGTCGTTCATTATCTGCTAATTGTGAACATGAAGTTAATGAAATACCAAATGATAATGAATGCAAAGAAAAACTATCGATTAAATGTGACCGAATACCAAGTGATACTGATTCTGGTGTTGAAGATTCTGATCAAAATAGTTCAAGTTGTGGTAGTTCACAAGCAGATAATATTGATGGAAAAGAGCCATCAACAGATTTTGGTGCATGTGCAGATGAAGATTTAAAAGAAAACACAACACCAGTTATTCCTGAACCATCTACAAATTCTGTACCACAAAATGTAGATCCTATTAGTAAAGATTTTGGTGCGTATGTAGATAAAGATCTTCGTAAGTCAATTGCTTTTGGTTTTTTTTGACTTTCTTGTTATGAATTATAGGACGTTGTGATAATATATTTTTATTTTTATTTAGTTGATCGTGTTGCCAAGGTGCCACATGATCAAAAAAAATATTTTTGTGATAATACAATGTGGGTTTTTCACGGTGAACATGCTCGTCTTATACATTTTCCAGTTCGTTTGAGATATCCATGGTGCAATTATTATCTTTTAGCTGAAAAGGAAGCAGGAAGTGATCCGCGCACATGGGATGGTTATGTTTTCGAAGTACTTAACAATGCAAAAGCTCAATTTCAATGTTCAAATATCTATTGCCGTCATGTATGGACATCAATGCGTGCTCGTATATCATTTGTAGTTAGCCGACCACAAGAAAAGGGTTTTGTTGTACTTAAAATTTACAGACAAGGTTGTGAAGAATGTAAATGTGGAGTACTAGAAGATGCTATTTGGTATATGGGTAAGTATTTAAAAACGAAAATTTTTCTTTTACTAATACTTTAATATATTAAAATATTTTTTTTTTGCTATTTCAGAAGAAGTTTGTCGAGTAATGGAGGACTTACGTGCAACAATTTTCAATCGTTATTTTCCAGATACGATTAAGGATGGAAATTTACAAAGTGAAAATGTTCATCAAAATAATATTCAACGTCCTCAACGTTTACGCTATAATGATAAACAACGACAAGGAAACATGGGTGCACCACATGATAAATCTCGATGTGAAGCATGTCAATATAATCGATGCTATCAATAGAACAAAAAGAGATAATGCTGTACATATCGCTTATTTTTACATTTTCAGCTTCTGATTTGTTTTCTGCTTATTAGTCTACTCAGTTACATATCTATCTCTTTATTTTCTATATTTATACATTTTTCTTAGACGTGCATTTTCTATTATCCGTGTTTTTCATTGCTGTCTTTCTTAGTCGCTTACAAACAAAACAAAAAACTTCCGCTTTTGTTTCTATACATTTTAGTTGTATACAATGTTTTTTGACCTATAGGGTTATTTTCTACTAGTTTAATAAAACGAAAAAAAAAACATCGAGAATCATTTGTCATTTTATTTTTAATAAACTAAATGAACGCACAAGTTTGACACTCTATTTATCGTGTATTACACAAAAAAAGATACTCTAGATTTAGATATGTAAAAATGCTAGTATAAAATAAAATAATTTTCTTTTATAGTTTTGGAACTTCAATTTTTGATATCATGAACAATGCAAGACCAATCATTATCAGTGGTGAGACATATGAAAAGAATGCTAGAAAGGCAACAGCTAAACCAGCTGCTGGAATTGGAAGACCTATAAAATGTCCTTGGGTTGGATGAACATTAAATCTAGCTAAACGCCAAGCACCAGCCAGACTAAAAGTAAATAGATAATATGCAATTATTTATTTTATTTTATTTTTATATAAAATAAAACCTACGGAAAGCTTACAAAAGCAATGACCATTAAAAATGACCAATTTTGTATTGTATGTGCTAGAATTGCTGGTGCAACACCGAATGAAACTACGTCAGCTAATGAATCTAATTGTGCACCTATATCTGATGTGATGCCTAGTGCTCGTGCAACACGTCCATCAAAAAGATCAAATGCAGCAGCAATAAAAATAAATATTGCTGAAAAACGGTGAAGACCATTTATGGCAAAAATTAATGAGAATAGACCACAAGTTAAGTTTCCTAATGTTAAAGCATTAGGCGTGCCACGACGAAGTTTTTGTGCATAAACATCTACTTGATCTAGGAAGACATTATATGAAGTTGAAGGTTTTTTATCTACGTCCTGTCTGGTCGTCATTTCGACTGATTAATCTAAATAAGCATAAAATGTTACACTTCATTGATTATCATATTATTCATTCATCCGAATATTTTTTTTTATGTTAGAATAAAAAGAAATTAATTAAGTATTTAATATTTTCTTCAAAAAGAATATTCCCACTGACTCATATTATTGTAAATCTTGATAAATTTCTTTTTTTTGTATAAACGTTCATAATAGAGAGATTATATTTATGAAATGATTGGTTCATATTAACAAATAATATATTACTATGAATATTTTTAATTAAATTAATAAAAAAACATATTCTTTTTTACTTTTTTATTTTTTAAAAATAAATATTTTATAAAAATTTTATTATTTTTTTAGCACCATCTAGCGAACCAATCGTGAACCATATCCTATTTATATATTTTCTTACACTACTACTACTATTTTCTTCTATTCTGAAGACAGGAGCAGCAGCAGCAGCATCGATGGTATGATGATAGAAGAAGAAGAAAAATCTTATTTTTTTTTCATAATGTCATGTTGCTTTCTTTTAGAAACTTTAAACGATAATCGTAGATGGATTAATAATATAATAACAATTGAATTACTTCAAATGGAAACAAATTCATCATCTGCAAATTTATTATCTCGATCAAAAAAATTACCACCACCTCCATTATGTTTGCCTGCAACAAATACGATGACAGATGAAGAAAAAATTCTAAATTCTAATCAACAACGTGAACGAAAGAAATCATCGAATAATTGTTGTTTATCATCATCATCAGAAGATTGTCCACATAAATCTATAACATATGTAAGATAAAAATATTTAATTCATTTCTATTTTGTTTATATCTATCAAATTCTTGTTTCTTCCTAGATTCTTCCTTATAGTCAACGTCCACAAATACTTGAAACATTAATAGGATCTTCATCAGTATTATTAGCACCACCACCATCAGAAACAAAACATAAAAAAGCATATACGGCAGCGTATGCTAATCAAATAAATTTACTTAAGTAATAAATTAATGATCTATTATATTATTATTATGATTTGTTCAATTTTCTTTTTGATTATAGACAACGTCAATCAACATCCAAAGGGACAGTTACTGATGCTGAATGGCTTGATTTTATGCGTTTAGTTGTACATAAACCGTTAGAAAATGAATTGAAATTATTACTAGATAAATATAAAATGGTAAAATTTGACTTTCTAAATTAGAAAAATTAAGTTTTTTCTTTGATTAGACTTATTTTGATCGAGTTAATGCACCTAATACAACTGACGATACTATTCGTTCAAGTTTATGTTCTATTGTAACTGAGGTATGTTCAATTGTGAGAGAAATATCAACAGTTTTGATTTAAAAAAAAGATAAATATGATTTTTTTTCTTCACCCACACGAGGGATTGAACACCGACTCTTCGGATGACTTAGTTCAACTTTGAAGGCTAGGAGTTCGATGCCTTAATCCATTAAGCCATGTGGGCGAAGAGTTTTCTTTATAAAGGTCAATATTCGTTTTGTTTCCTCTATTATACGTTTCCTATGATAGTTTCCGTATGTAATATAGAAAAAAATGACAAGAAGAACAGAGATTAGGTAGAGAAGAGAACAAAATATTTGGACACCCGCGCCGGGACTCGAACCCGGACTCTTCGGATGACTCTTTTTAAAATAAAATTAGGAGTCCGATGCCTTAATCCATTAGGCCACGCGGGCTTATCTTACTCGTATGTTCATTATGCATCTTATATAGACTTTGGCCACATACTCATCAACTTCAATATTACCATCAGAAACAACTGATGAACTAACAACAAATGCTTGTTCTCCTATTCCAACAATAACTATTACAAATAGTGGCAGTATAAAGTAATTAGTTTTTATTAAAAAAAAAGAAAATGATAATCTTAAAATTATATTTTTGATTATAGACGAAAACGAAAGAATACTGGCACCACTGTATTTATATCTGCGCCTTTACCAATACATAGTCAAACAAAATTTGTTATTAGTCACATTATACCCGGTAAATATGATAATAACAATAATGGTAACAAAATAATAAATCAACAAAAACAATTTCAAAAGAAATATAGTCATCTATTTAAAGTAAGTCTTATAGAAAAGAAAAACTACTTGCTTATTATAATTTATATCGAAAATATACGTCACTTTTTATTCTAAATAGAACAATATTATACTGACACATTTTCTATTGACTTTCGATAAGAACAAATATATCTAAATGTTATAGAAGTGTAGAAACCAAAGTCTAAAAGTAAAAGCACGCCATTTTTTTAAAAATTTTCCAGTGCATACTATTTTTCAAGTGTTTTTAGTATGATATATCTATTATAACGAGTTTTTATATCTCACTAAAATGTGACAAAATTTTGTTTTGATAGAATAGAATAAAATAAAGATAAACTATCTTTTTCTTTTTAGTATACACCAAGTAAAGATGAATTAGCACATCTTTTACGTGAAGGTCATGTAAAAAATTCGTTAGTTTCTCGTTCGCTAAATAATAACAGTATTTGTTTTATGTTACTTGATGAAGTTGTTAATAATATGGATGATTATGATCTTGAATTAAGGTAAAATATAATTATTTTATTCTTTATATAAAGATTATATACATGAATTTATTTTTTACAGTGGAATATCAATTGATGATTCATTTCTATTACCTGAAACATTACTTACAAATATAATTTCTACTCTTCAGTAAAAATGAAACAAAATTATACGTATAAGCTTATTTGAATATTTTTTGTTTTGTCGCGTCTTATACTATAAACTTAATGTTTGTTTGTAGAATATAAATAATTTTTAATCAATTTATAATAATATAATTTATTTTTCAATATATATATATATGAAATATAATTGGAATAAAATTTTAGATAAATAAAAACTTTCTCACTTATTCCACTGGGTAGTTTATTGTGGGAATAATGACTTGGTTGAACGAATTGTTGAAAGAAAACATTCCATCTTATAATCTTGCTCTTAAACATGGAGATCCAAGAACAAAAGACTGGTTTTTATTATGGCGTGATCCAGTACCAGCAGTAACATTGGCATTAATATATCTTTTTATTGTTATATTTGGTCCACGGTATATGCGCAATCGTGAAGCATTTCATATACCTGCATGGATACTTTTTACATACAATATGGCACTTGTTGCTTTATCAGCTTACATGGTCGAAGAAGTTAGTTCGGAAATTTTTTTTCTTTAATTTATATATATTTATTTATTTAACTTTCTAGCTTGTTGTGGGTATTTGGGGTAGTGGATATAATTTATTATGTCAAAGAATGAAAGTTACGAACGATAAATATGAAATGAAAATAGTGAATGCTTTATGGTATTATTATTTTTCAAAAGCAATTGAATTTATGGATACTATATTTATGGTTGTCCGAAAACGTTATACACAAATAACATTTCTTCATGTATTTCATCATTCAACAATGCTTATTATTTGGTGGATTGTTATGACATGGATACCAGTATGCTCGATAGATATTTATTTTAAATATTTCGTTCTTTTTTGCTTCTATTTAGGGTGGTCAAGCTTGGTTAGGCCCAGTTTTAAATTCAACAGTACATGTTTTCATGTATGCATACTATGGATTATCAGTTATCCCAGCTTTACGTAACTCACTTTGGTGGAAACGATATATTACCATGTTCCAATTGGTAAATAAAGAAAATTATTTATATTAAATAGCTTAGTTATATTTATAAATGATAGCTTTTCTTTCGTCATTATTTTGCTATATATATTTGATCGTGAGTGTAAGTTAATATGAAATTACAGTAACGTGTATGACTTGGACTAACTAAACATTATTTACCACTAATTAAAAGTTCGACTAACATATGTTATAGACAATAGAAAGAAAACCCTAGTTCATTTACTCAACTATATAACTACTATATTTTTTTTCTTTGATTAGATTCAATTTGTGCTTATTTTCACGCATACATTTAGTGGTCTCTTAACTGGTTGTGATTATCCACAATGGTATAGTATTATGTTATCAATTATCTCATTTATTGTTTATTTATTCATTTGTTTTCTAGGGGTCAAATAATGTTAAGTGGTTATATGATCATCATGTTGATTCTTTTCACGAATTTTTTTATTCATGAATATATTACACGTAGTAACGATGCTAAACGACGTAAACAAAAATCAGAAATTAGTGATAAAACATCCAATGATGAATCGACAACAAAAAAACCAACGCGAAAAAATGGCGTTAATAAAAAAGAAGAATAATTCATGAAAAAAAAATAGAATTATTTGACATTATTTTGCTTTTTATTTATTTCATTTATAGGGAATGCACGTTTTTTTTTT